AGAAAAGGGAGAGAAGGAGAGAAGAAAGAAGAGACGAAGAGAGGAGCAGGTAAGGTAGGGAGAAGGAGAAGGAGAGAAAGAGAAAGAGGGAGAATAGAGAAAAGAGAGGCAGGGAAAATGGGGAAAAGTAAGGAGAGGGAGAAAATAACTGAATCGCTTAATGCCGGCATCTTCCTATGCATATCTAGGCCAATCTCAACTATGATTCTACTTCTCCACAACTTTCTCCTCCCCTTCCAAAGGCTTGTTTTGAGCAAAAAAGCTGGACAATCCTCTCAAGACTCAGTTGACATCCCATGAATGCACAGGGCAGTTTGCTGTGAGAAAATAGAGGCTTGGAGAGAACTCTATGGCAAGTTCTTTGTAAAACGGAGATGAATTTGAGATGAAGGTGAAATATTTAGACTATGCCATTCTGCAAAGGGATTTGCAACTAGTCCAAGGTGGGGTGGGCAGAGGGAGAGGGTGATCTTTCAGGCTTCAGAAACTTTACAGTTTCTCTTTGAATGGAAAGCTCTGCTAACCCCCTACTTTAATTATTTCAAACCCATTGCTTCAGAGAAATACAACCTGATATGAATCTTATCATTCTGAATATGAAACGCATCTCTGCTTTAGTGCTGGTTGCTAACCTAACTTAACTCGCCGTTTATTCTGGAGTCTGATATCAGCCAGATGTAGATCAGAGCTGTCTTATTCCAGATGTTCAATGATTGATGATGTGCCATCAAGCTGATGTTGAGTTTCAGCAAGCATATTATTGTTGGAGGGGGAAAAATATTGCTTATATCAACTAAGTCATAAATAAAATGGAGCAGGGATATGACTCCACCAGAAAATACTTACTGTGATCAGATTCACAATGCATTTGGGTCAGTTTTAATGGGGTGGATGTTTCCTCTGACCACAAATCACAGATATTTTTTTTCTTGGCACTTTTAGGAAGTGGAGGGATAATTTATTCATTCACTGGAACAACTGACAGGATATAATCATTCTGCTGTTCTGAGAACCAACAGCTAGTGAGGATGCTTTCTCTTGCTAGCCTTTAGGGGAACTATAAGGAGAAGTGAAATTAAATCCAGTAAATATGGAAGTGCATATTTATCCCTTGAAGGAGAAATGCCAAGACAGGACAAAGGGACGTTGTTTATAACCAGTGGTGGGTTTCAAATTTTTTTAGAACCTCTTCTGTAGTATGGCCTGCTTTGTGGGAGTGGCTTTCCAGCCATGTGACCAGGCGGGAGTGGCTTGGCAGTCATGTGACTGGATGGGCATGGCCAACTTGTAAAATTTGGTGAAACTCACTCTTGCTTAGCAACCAAAATGTTGGCTCAGAACCTCTGGCATTTGAAGCATGCAAGTCTTAAAGCTGTCAAGTTACAAGACTCTTGCACTCCTAACCCTTTAGAAAAAAACCCAGGGGTGTTTTCTGGACTTCAGCTCCCAGAATNACTGCTCTTTAGAAGGCCAGATTCCGAAGAGGAAACTCAAAGACTTTTGTCACCTAAGGAGAAGGAAGGACTCCCTAGAGAAGAGCCACATGCTGGGAACGATGAAGGGCAGAAGAAGAAGGAGATGACAGAGAATGAGGTGGCTGGATGGAGTTACCAAAGCAGTCGGCGTGAGCTTAAATGGACTCCAGAGGACGGGAAGGCCTGGAGGAACGTTGTCCATGGGGTCGCGATGGGTCGGGCACGACTTCACAACTAACAACGACAACAGAGTCATTTGGACTTTTTTTTAGGGAGGGTGATGTATAAATAAAATTAGGACTAAAACAAACTATAATCATTTCATTGGCAAACTCTATGCACACATACCAACACCCTGCGTTCGAATGAAAAACACATTGTTAGCTCCGCTCGGCAACGACTGGAATCGACGCCGCTTCTGTTCCGTGGAGGTACGGATCTGATCCACTTCTTTTTTCAAAGCTGCTTCGGCATCATCTTCCTCCTCTTCACCGAGCCTGACCACCTTTTGCTCTATAAACTTTGCACAGGCAAAAATACATAAATACAAATTACGTATTTTCGGACAGGAGCGCCCAAAATTTCCACTGCTAAGCAAGACGGTTGAGTGACATGTCAGAGTTTGCAGTAGAAATCACATCGCAAAAGCACCCACAGATAATCGATTCAGCAGGATTCATTAACTTCTTTATATACACAGCAACACATGAATAAATATACAATCCCAACAGCAGATTCTTCCAACGTGGTAGTGGGGAGAGATTGCTTCAGATCAGAGCAGACTAGATTAGTTCTCGTGCACAGACTCAGAGCTACACAGGTAAGCCACGCCCAGGCTCTGAGCCATCTGGCATGGCTCTCAGTCACCAAATACTTCCAGTAAACACTCAGCTCCATTAGTTGCCCCAACTCCCCCCAGATGCAAGAGAACAGAATAGAATTCTTTATTGGCCAAGGGTGATTGGACACACAAGGAATTTGTCTTTGGTGCAGATGCTCTCAGTGTAGATAAGGGGAACAAAATACATTCCTCAAGAATAAAAAGATACAACACTTGGTGATAGTCAAGGTTACTAATAAGCTATGAAATTGTACTAGGAGAAAAATACAAAATATAAATTGTAAGATACAAACAACATGGTTATAATCATAAGTTGGAAGAGATAGATGCTAGTAAGGAAGAGAAGAATAATAGTAATATAGTCTTAGTAAATTATTTGACAGTGTTGAGGGAATTATTTGTTAAGCAGAGTGATGGCGTTTGGGGAAAAACTGTCCTTGTGTCTAGTTGTTCTGTGTATATGTATATGTATATGTATGTGTATGTATGTATGTATGTATGTGTATGTATGTATGTATATGTATGTATGTATGTATGTCTGTCTCTGTGTGTGTATGTGTCTGTGTGGCAATTGTGCTGATAAATAATTAAAGGGAGACTAGTATAGATCTATTTCAAGCTATTTAGCTCTCATCAGCTGGCCATACCCTTACTGGGATTCGAACCTGGGCTGTGTTATATATTAGGCAGTTATGTTAGCCACTAAGCCACAGGCTCTCCTCATCAGAACTCTTTATCACACAATATATGCATACACACATACACATACACACACACACACCTTTATCAGAACTCTTTATCACACAATATATGCATACACACACACACACATATTGTTATGTATATATGTAGTCACGGGACTACATTTCCCAGCATTCCCACCGGGCACTTGCCCAGCAAGGAATCCTGGGAATTGTAGTCCCGAGTCTTCCAGGCGTCCCTCCCTCCCCCCACCCCCAGCAACACAACCAGCCAGCCAGCCCCCAGGGGCTTCTCCTCCCGCCTCCCCGGCCTCACCTCCCCGGGCCCGTAGAGCTGCTCTCCGTACTCGCTCAGCAGGTTGTAGGCTTCGGCCACGCACTTCTGCTGGCCCACGTTGGAAGTGATGAGGATGCCGCTCATGCCGGCCTCCAGCTTGCGCGGCCCGAGCACCTTAGGCCGCTTGGACAAATGCGCGTACTTCCCTTTGGGCGGCTTCCGCTTGCGGCGGACCGGGGCCGCCTTTGCCACCGGCGGTGTCTCCACGGAAGCCTCCATGGGGGAGGCGGCGGCAGCTATGGGGGCGGCGGCGGCAGCCATGGGGAAGGCGGCGGGGGACGGGCGGCGCAGGCGCAGCGAGGCGCCACAACCCGGGCGGCGGGCTTTGATGGCGTCATCCGACCGCGTCCGGAACGTCTGTCTGTGGGTAGTAAAAGAGCATGGAGATAGGAAAAGGTAGAAGGCGGCGTGACCATAGAGTCGAGGCGCGGAAATTCAAGAGAGGATGGCTCTGTGGCGCCAGCTAGTGGCCCTCCCGAATTCTGCAGCCCGAATCTGACAGAAAGGCGTTGTTAAGATACAACTAAAACAGTGTTTCTCAACCTTGGCAACTTGAAGATGCCTGGACTTCAACTCCCAGAATTCCCCATGCTGGCTGGGGAATTCTGGGAGTTGAAGTCCAGACATCTTCAAGTTGCCAAGGTTGAGAAACACTGAACTAAAAGAAACGCCAAAAATGACACTTTGTGCAATAAGAAAACCCTAAACAAGAAAGAGAGAGAGAGCAATCACATAGATTACATGATAGACAAACAGACATAGATAACATAGATACAGACATAGAGAAAGCAGGTGGATAAAAGATCAAATTAGAATTCAATTCAATTAAAAGAGATTCAACCCAACATCTGGAAGCATGGGGTCCCCCTTTTCTGCTCAGGAGCTCAAGCTGTGTGATCCTGTCCCCCATCAAAACCATCTTTCCAAGCACCCTCCGCGTTTCCAGTGCCTTTTCCCCCACTTGGAACTGAACTCAGAAGGACATTTCTTCCAACAGTTTAATCAATGACACGGATGTAGTAGCATAAGCAATTCATAATAAAAGCAAATAGCCACAACTGATTCATATACTCCTTCGGTCCTTTATAATAAAGGGTGTATGTAGTCTTAGCAGTGGTGCCACGTCTTTTATCCAACCTTTTCTGCAATTCCTCGTCTAGCTGGCACCGGTGGAAGGTTGCAGATTGCTTCAGAGATGCCCGACCAGTTTCCCACCCCCCACCCCCCCGGAGCAAAAATGCTTGCGTGACATACTGTGTCCTTCACACCTTAGGAAAAAAAACCCTCCACCTCCTTCTCTGGACTGTTTCCAAGGTGGAAAGAGAGGACATTTGCATGGTGTCCGAGTCCTCGAGACGTTTGCTTCAGCTCTTGTGAGTTTTTAGCTGAGTTTTCTCATTTTACCTGAGTGGGATTAACTTCTTTGCAGCTTTTGTAAAGAAGTGGGGGCTTAAAGTCAATTGGCTTTCCATGAATCCAGAAGAGGACATTCTCTGAAAAAAATAATCAACAACAGAATTCCAACTACCTGTTGAATTTTCAAGAAGGTAAGAGAATAAATCCAGCTCTTATTTCATGTTCAGAATTATGATGATGACTTCATATAGTTTTTGGGATATGCATTTGCGGTTTCGTTTATAAGGGCTCAGTGGCTAAGACGATGAGCTTGTCGAGCAGAAAGGTCGGCAGTTCGGTGGTTCGAATCCCTAGCGCCGCGTAACGGAGTGAGCTCCCGTTACTTGTCCCAGCTTCCGCCAACCTAGCAGTTCAAAAGCACGTAAAAAATGCAAGTAGAAAAATAGGGACCACCTTTAGTGGGAAGGGAACAGCGTTCCGTGCGCCTTCGGCATTGAGTCATGCCGGCCACATGACCACGGAGAGGTCTTCGGACAGCGCCGGCTCTTCGGCTTTGAAACGGAGATGAGCACCGCCCCCTAGAGTCGGGAACGACTAGCACAGATGTGCGAGGGGAACCTTTACCTTACCTTTTGCTTGTAGTTTTCTGGAGCAGATAAAGCTGATGCCTTCTGAGAAGGTAAAGAGTCCCTCAATGAACATAGGGCTGGAAAGAGATTTGATTTCAGGTCTTCTTCCTTTCCAGATACACTATATTACATGCTTTAGAAGCAGGGATCAGAGAGGTAGATCTCTCTGCGGATTGCGTGGCTGTTAAAAGAAGAAAATTGGCTCCCGAGATGGCATTTGACACGCTTGTCTTTTTTTTTTTTTCCTGGCTCCTTTTTCAGCAGATCTGGCTTNATATATATATATATATATATATATATATATATATCTGATGGGAAGAATGGTCTCATCTCATGTGTTCCTCCTTGTCTCAGCAGGCAGCAGAAAACGTCAGAGACAGAAGAGGGAACAGTTCAAATCCAGGAAGGTGAGCCTTCTCCGGCCCCTTGTGTCTTCTCTTCTTCCTACCCCTGCAAGATGGGTCCTTTCCAGGCAGGCTCAGTTCCTGGAACCCTAGAAATTGGCCTATATACAATTCTTGGGTGGCCTTATAGACATAATTGGGGGGAGGGGTTCAGTTATTGGTTGAGAAGGTCTGAGATTTCCTGGTGGTCCCCCACCCCTGTGCCTGCTTTAGCTCTTACCTTTGATCTCAGGGGTACAGGTAATCCTCGACTTACAACCACAATTGAGCCCCAAAGTTTCTGTTGCTAAGCCAGACAGTTGTAAAGTGAGTTTGGCCCATTTTATGACCTATCTGGCCACAGTTGTTAAGCGAATCACTGCAGCTGTTAAGTTAGTCGCACGGCTGTGTAACAAATCCAGCTTCCGTATTGGCTTTGCTTGTCGGAAGGTCGCAAAGGAGGATCACATGACCCAGGGATGCGGCAACCGTCATAAATACAAACCAATTGCCGAGCGTCTGAATTTTGATTACATGACCATGGGGATCCTACAGCATTCCAAAGTCATTTGGCGGGGGGGCATTGTAATTTTGCATGGCCATTAAAGAGATGATTGTAAGTGGTGCGGTGACCTAGAGGTGGGTCTCTCTCGTCACAATCAGAAGGCTGTGAGTTCAATCCTAGGTAGAGGCAGATATGTACAATGATGAGAATGTATCTGCCGAACAAAACTCCTCATTGGCGACAGGGAAGGGCGTCCGGCCAGTAAATACTCAGTTCCATTCCGTTGCCCACACTCCCATCCCGCAAGGGATTATGGGGCCATTAACAGATGACTGAATGGATGATTGTAAGTCGAGGACTACCTGCATTGCACAGTCCTGGGGAAGGGCGAGGATTAACATGGCGGCTTCGGCCCTATTTAAGGCCTCTTTCTCTTCTTTCCTGAAGGAGCAGTAGCGACAGGTGAAGATCCCACCAGCGTGGCCATTGCGAGCATCCAGTCGGCGGCCACCTTTTCAGACCCTAACATCAAATATGTCTTCCGAGCAGAGAATGGAGGCACTCAGGTGAGACGCTGTGAGCTGCCTCGCTTTCCACTCAGCAGGTATCCAAGGCCCAGGGCTTCTCAAGCCGGACCAGGTTTCCGAAGAGTGGAATTCTGGGAGTTGAAGTCGACTCGTCTTAAATTTTCTCAGGTTCCGAAACAACGGACTAAAGCAGATCTCTGTGCTGCTGGCTGTGTGTGTGTGTATGTGTGTGTGTAAAATAAAGAGAGACCAGTATACATCTATTTCAAGCTATTTAGCTCTTATCAGCTAGCCATGCCCTTATTGGGATTCAAACCTGGCTGTTTTTACATGTTAGGCAGTGGTATTAGCCTCTAAGCCACAAGCTCTCCTCCCTTATCAGCTGAGCCAAGGAAATGATTAAGTGTTATGTCAAAGCATCTGGTATGCGCAAATATG